ATATTCCAGCAACATCACGACGGGGAACACCAGAAATGGGCCTCTCGTACAGACCCTGAAACAAATACACATGTATATCCAAGAAAGCCCAAGCAAGTCTAGAAAATGTGGCAAGTCTAGATTTCCACAGCTTCTGAAAATGAAGAAAGTCTCAGGGCTCCTTTTCATTATATATTTTTTTTATACTATGAACTTTTTTTCAGTAAAATATGTTCATTTTAGAGACACGTTGTTAGTCTACCTCGACATATACATAAGACTTCTTCAACTAACCTAGGTCTCTTAAAAGTTGGTATTGGCATTTACAGTTTTTCTTAATCATAAATATCTTTACTTAAGCGTCATGACAAACACGACATACCTTTGATACTTACACTGATGATATTGAACATGTTATATAAATACAGTGAGTGTAGATGTCATGTTTATCACTTGCAGAGTCAGCATATTTGGTCAAAGGCTCTGTATACGTATGTTCTTTAAGTGTGAGAGCCAGTACTATGGCCCGTGTATTTAAGATAGAACATTAACTATCACCAGCGATTCATTGTGGAGGATGCAGGTGCAACAACATGTCCCATTCCCCATAAGCGTGATCTCGCACTGAATAGTCAGGAAGCGAAGCACAACCTTCCCCAACGAGTGATTATTTACCTCATCTCATCATGTGGTGGGCAGGAGTGTGAGCGGCTCTCTGATTGGACGCCTATTATAAGAGCTGCGTTTTCATTGGTTGACCTTAACCCGGGCACGTGAACATGTAGGAATGACATCAGACGGCCTTGACACTCAATGGTAGGGGTACCGGCTTTCATACATGTTGAATCGTACGAGCTGTCATTGGGGAGGTAGCGAGCCACTGGCACACACGTAATTGTACACCGGGAGTCAAACAGGTAAGGACTGTTGAATTGTTTTGTGGTCTTACTAAGATCTCTTTCACATCGTGGACAATATCACTCATATCGCCCAGTCGTAGAATCAATACTTCCTGGGTGGTTATTACAGTTGCCAGTGAAATATTGCAATGTCGAACCCATCCACTTTTATGTCTTAGACAGTTGTGATGTACTGGTACATCACATCTTATTCAAATTTGAACCTTTTGTTTCTTGAATGATGCTTGCTTATTCCCTATTGTCATTCATGTGGCTACATGTTCATTGTAAGTGTTGTATGATAATGAGATGATGGCGCCGTGGCCTCATATCGCCCGGCTTTAATGACAGGCACGGCTTACCCATGCGTTTATCAGCTGATGCTCTCATGGTAGGGACCGTTTATAGCACAGCGACGGGGTGAGGGGGTAAGGAGGTCGGCTTGGGGTATATATTGTTACATAACATGGGATTATAGTTACTTCATCTTGACTTGCATTATATATTATCTGCCTGTCAGGGGCATTGTAGATTCATACAGCTGTGATATCATAAGGTGGCTAAAATATTACCGATATGACAGATTTTATCGCACAACACTCGTTTCAAACGCATTACTAAGAAAACCCAAAAGACATAGTTTACACTGATTCATTTTAACATAGACATGAATTTATGTATATGATATAGAATCATTATATTCGTTTTGCTCGGTATTCATGGATGATTATTATCGTGTCAAAACTGCATGCAAACATATGAATAATAGTGATTTATGGATCATATGTTATGAATTTGAATAGAGAGAAGGCCGTTATACAGAATCGTTTTCCTGAAAGTTGTATGATGTCATTAAACGTCAAATTGAGGAAGCGTCTCGATTTCCGCTATCATTGTAAACATCTACGCGTTTCCGATATGTCGTGTTCACCCTCTAGGTTCATACAGATCACTCAGACAACGATCTGCACTGAAATGTATTCTGAGCTACAGAAGTTAAGGATCATGTATATGTTTGGGGAAAATGTTATGAAAGTGTGTAAAATCCCATTAAATATCATGACCCCCTAATTTTATTTCTTTCGTATGTACAACTTGCTCTCCATACACTGACTGACTGAGTTTGGTTTTTCGCCGCTTTTAGCAATATTCCAGCAAAATCACGGCGGGGGACACCAGAAATGGGCTTCACACATTGTACCCATGTGGGGATTCGAACCCGGGTCTTTGGCGTGACGAGCCAACGCTTTAACCATTAGGCTACCCCACCGCCCCTCTCTCCATACAAATAGGGTTGCCTCTGTTGAGTGTTTCTAGTGTAAACTCATCTTTGCTTCCCTTTATGGTTTTGATGGTGTGAGTAAGAAGGGTTTTCACGATGTCAGTCACTGGATTGTCTGGTCCAGACTCGATTATTTACAGTCCGCCATAGAGCTGGAATATTGCTTAGTCTGGCTGTAAACAATGAACATATAAACAAAAATATAACATCAGTGGTACAACACTATTTCAAAAGCCATACCTGTCATTGAAGCGACACATTGCTTCCTGTAAGTAAGTTCCAAAGAAGACATTCACTGTACTAGAATCTCAACAGACCGTATTTGATAAGTTAAACCCACCTGTTGTAAGTCACTGAAGACCGAGAGCACTGAATTGTAACATCCGTCGTAATATGAAATATATGCTATAATGGTCTTTATTGGAATATGAAATATATACTCCATATCTGAAAGAGACACTAAGGACGCACATGTATATCAGTTCAGGTTTTCAGAAACATAGATTGGTAGACAGATGCAGTTATCAATTCATCAGTTTTCGAGAGTTTTCGTACGAAACTGGAATAGGGCAATGAAACCATATGTTGCATGTTGAAAAGATGCCGACAGTGAAGTGAAATAGATCATGCGTGTATCAGCTGCTGCAGGCATGGTGGTAGCGCCCGTCCTCGCCAACTGGCGTGTGTCGATTAATATCGCCAAGCGTATCCATACTCTTGTAGGACGTACTGTCTTATATAAGGACCGCGTAACGGGTAGATAACACAGAGCATCTGAATGCCTGGTTCAAATTACGTCATGAGATAGTGTGATTGGTTTGGTCTACTGGCACAACTCCCCCACTCACGGGCTGTTGGATGGCCAGACCTGTGGAGGGGTCAACTAGCGGTCAGCAGGTTCTATGACCTGGTATCGGATGTCGGTCTGTACTGAAGGCACAGTTTCATTGCAGCGTGAATAGGTCTGACTTAGTAGCGATGCCCCTAGTATACCTGGGAATTCCCTTGGATATACAATGTACATGTATAACATATTCAGTGCTACCTTCTGTATCTGTTTCTGTGGAGTTCGGCTGTCTCAGTCCCTCAACCGCCTTATTTTCCCTTCCGCCCAGCCTTTTCGGCAATGCTAAAGCCCTAAATGAAGCAAGTCTAGATTTCCATAGGTTCAGTGTCTAGATTTTCGAAGCTCTCTTAGCGCTAAGATAGTCGTAAGTTAATGTTAATGTATGGCACTTACGACTATCTTAGCGCTAAGAGAGCTTCGAAAATCTAGGCCCAGGTTCTGAATTTCATTTATTACTGGGCCCTTTTTTCAATTTCCTTTATTACTGGGCCCTTTTTTCAATTTATACGGACTTGTTTGATGATCAAAATTATTTATATTCAGAGTCTAAGCGTTAGTCTAGGTTGATATTTGTATATGTTGATGTAGAATCCTGAGAGTGTAACATGTCACAATCCCATAACAACTATGTAAGCATCTATAAATAAACAACAAGCGAGACGGAGCAGATTGTTTATGCATTATTCACAGTTCGTGAATGTTTGGTTGAAGCCTGTATTCCGCCAGTAAAATAAACACCCGTCAAGAAACAAAGGGACACATATTGAAACGGGGGCGGTTGGGTAGCCTAGTGCTTAAAGCGTTCGCTCGTCACGCCAAAGACCCGGGTTCTATTAGCTACATGGGTACAATGAGTGAAGCCCATTTCTGGTGTCCCCCCCGCCGGGATTTTTCTGGAATGATGCTAAAACTAAGACTAAAATCTTTCACTGATATTGAAACGGATACGTTGAGGAATAACGCAGATGTGTTTTCTGTTACTGGGTTGTCGATCTGGAGATTTATTTTGTGTATTGTACGCAATTATGCAGCTGGAGCCTGTATATATATGAACCTAACCGTGATGTTTACCGTAACGAACCGCGCCATCACAGGTTCTAGAGAAAGGTGAATTGTAATTGTGAAAATATATCTTAAACTGACTATTCAAGTATCCTGAAGATAAGAAAGGGAATTGTTATGAAATGACATGAAAGCCGAATTGTAGACCCGAGGTACAGTGGAATCTGTCAAATCCGGACTCTGTGTAAAGCGTGCGTTATAATCCGGACTCTCTCAATTACGGATTACAGACTAAAATATCAGTCCCGACAATCAACTTGCTGAATTTGCTTAAATGCAGTGACACGCTTATTACTACCAACAGGTCGTTCCGACGTGTTGATTTTGCTGTGTGGTATAATAAGTGGAATAGAAAAAATGATTGGTCCCAAGCTCAAACGTTTTCGTTTGACTGCTCTCTTCGTTGCCAGAAATGTCATCACGTGGAGACCGTTTCTGCAGTCCCCTATCCGGCATATTGCTGGAACATTGCTAAAACCGGCGTTAGCAATACTCACTCACATCTGAAATTGAGAGTAGTGGTGTAGTGGTTAGAGCGTCTGCCCGGAGAGCGGAAGGTCGCGGGTTCGATCCCCGACCGCGACACACCAAAAGACGTTACAATATGGTATTAATGGGTACAACAAGGACCGGTCGGCTCGGAGTCCGTATAATGTGTCTGAGTGGGGTATTCATGCTTCACTGCGGCTTGGTATCACAGTGGGCTAGCACTATAAAACCAGCTTAAGTCTGGGCTAGTACAAGCAGCCGCACATACACATACACACGCATGCACGTCGTCATATGAGCGAAATATTCTCGAGCACGACGTTAAACCAAATTTCACCTCACCTCTGACATTCAGGGTAGTTGTTATGTAAGTTTCAGACTTCACCGTATTTTCTTATGTTCAATTGCGTGCAGACAATTTATTGCGTCTTATTTGTTTCAGAACTGCAAATGTTGGAAATAACGAGCCCTCGAGGCACAGGACACAGGATGCCTGTTGACTTCACTACCTACCTATTGTCGTCCAGTCCCCCAGCGTCCAGCCTGGAGCTGTTGACGTACGCCTTCCACCCAGACGACGGGCACTACGGCCACCCAAACGACAAACGCATCGGCCACTCCGACGGGGATCTGTACCACCAGTCAAGACTACAAAGTTTGAGTCAGAGACGAAACAATGCTCCGCTTAAACCTATTATTATCAAACCGGAAGCGAACAGCGATAGCTCCGCACCAAATTCCGGAAGTTCCACTCCGACGAGTCCGCGGTCTACCAGTCCACATTCACCAGGAAGGTTAAAGAAGAAAGTGTCATTCGCAGATCACCAAGGAAAGGCATTAGCTACAGTGAGAGTTATGACAGAGGCATCTGATATGCCTCCAAGGATTCGTCCAGAACTTCTCGCTTCAGTGACGCAGGGGGCGTCAGCAGGAGTAACGGAACAGCCTCCTTTGAAACTTTGTTTTAACCAACCAGCGTCTGACTATTTGGCGTTCAGAGACAGGTTGGAAGAAGAGTTTGTGTCTTTGGAAAATGTGATATTAAGGGACTACCGCGTTGGGGGAACCGTGAAGGTGAAAAATATTTCCTTTATGAAAAACGTTTTTGTTAGAGTTACATTCGACTCGTGGGAGTCTTTCGAGGACACTCAAGCTTCGTACGTCGCCAGCCCATCCGATCATAGTGTCTATGACACGTTTTCGTTTGAGTTCAGTGTTCCTACAAACTTTGACATGGGTAAAGTCATAGAATTCGCTGTGTGTTATGAAGCGGAACACGCACAGCACTGGGACAACAACAGGGGAGATAACTATCATATTGTGTCGGCAGATTACAAAAAAGTACAAGAACCCAAGTTCGTATCTCACAGTATCTGGCCTGAACATAACTCGAACTGGCCAGAATACGCTTGCTGGAATCATGTGGATACAACTACCCCGTACTGGTGAAACGTTCCCCCTGAACGTACCAGAACGTTCAATCCAGGCGCCCTAGCTGTGGCGCTTGAGCATGGAGGCCGGGAGAGTCCATTATTCAGGCGCTGCTTGTGGAATCTAGGACGAACAGCTGTCACAGACTCAGCTGAGATCTCATTGTGCAACGACTCTCGGCTAAATTTGAAATGGACTTCTCACATGTCTACTTAAGTAGTAAAGTGCTTTGGAATATTTGCGTAACCAAAGAAAGGAATTTTTCATAACTCACTCGCGAGGCAGCTTTGCGATGAAGGGTCACGTGACTTCTTGTGGAAGAATCGTTCTATGTGTAGTTTAGAAAAATTCCATCGATTTCCATGTGTACATTTCCATTGCTTTAGACAGCTATAAGTCATCTGTGATATTACCTTTTGAATGACAGAGAGGTTTTAGTACTTTTAACACACTGGGAAATACTTGATGTAGCAGTGGGGAGTTGGCCTAAAGTTCAACAGTCTTGAGACCTGACCCAATAAGCCACGCCTGCATGTCATCACCCCAAATTCATACGAATCGGATATATTTTCATCATTTGTTATTTTTAGATATTTGGGTGTATGTTTATGTAAACCAGTGATCAAGCTCAAGAAGCCTGTTTCAAATATCTGTGATTGTCTGGAATCTTTATTACAAAGAGAACAAATATGTTGTATTCCAAGATGGCGGCTATCCACTTGTTCTAATTAACGTGACCAACAGACACACCAGTGGTAAATAGTTGGGTATATTAGTAAAGACAAATAATTGTGAGGTCACTGGCGGGTGTTTGAATGTTTGAAAGAATATCCATGTTTGGGGAGAGTTCAAACCGGAACAACAGCCAGACATGCGCAAAATACTCTGCGGCAGTTGCGCCTCATTTGTAACTTTCACCAAATATACCGACCAAGAAAAGTTAAGGGTCATGAAGATGTATAGGGATATTCAGAGTTTTCACTGAAAAAAAAACAACCTTGAAATATTCATGATCCTTAACTCCTTTGTTTTGTATAATTACGAGTGAAATACGATGTTTCATTGATAGCATGGAGATAGTAATGGACTCGCTGAGCTCAGAGATCGCGGACGACGAACGTCCATCTGAGTGGAGTTTGTGATTGTAGTATGTGTCTGTCAGTATTAGATTTGAATCCATGTCTCACCACATCTACGGGTAAAAAACATGCACTTTGTAAGGCATTTGATAGGAAGTTGGGAAGCCGCCATTTTGTTATTCGGGTTGTCTTTCTGACCGAAGTGAAGAGATTACAGTATTGAAGCTGTTTGTATCTATGTTAATACTATTTTATACAAAATGTTCAATCCTGTTGTATTTAATTGTACATAGAATTTACCATTTGTTGGACTGAGATCTCCGTGCACAGGATTGCCTGTGCCGTTTGTGATGATCTAGGAACCCCTCAGTTTCGATGGTGCTTGAATGCAAGAGGACGTCACGTGACAAGGACTGATAGCGTGATGGAACGTTAGTCTGGAGCGTGAATGTTGTATAATTGTATGTACACTGCGTAACGATATTAAACGTGTGGAAGTGTTTGTTTTCGTTTTGAGCATTATTTTCCAAGCTGGTTTAATTTGGGGGAGTAATTTCTTACTTCTGTGTTCGTCTACTGGATCCATATAGGCGCACACGGAAATGCGCCGCTTTACGTTGAAAAGAGTTGCGTCCCTTAGACCTAACCCATGACCTTACTTCGACGCTGGTCTACTGGAACCATTTGGGCCCTTTCGGAAGGGCGCCGCTTTTCGCTTGTAAGAGTTGCGTCCCTTAGACCTAACCTATGATCGTAGGTTCGAATCCTAGGGCGCCCAGGTGATGTTTGATGGTTTCTCAGCAGCATACCGGTTGTCATGGGTTTCACAAAGTGGCAAACGCTTGAGACCTGCATCACTTCCGGTTTTCCTCCCTGATGGAGCTGAACATTCTTGATATGACTGGAATATCGTTAAAAGCAGGGTCAAACCCAAACTCTAATATACTGACCGGCAAAAGAAACGCAGTTCAAGAAATACAAACAATTGTGTTAAAGTATCAAATCCAAACTCATGCTGAAAAGTATATTTTTCATGAATTCTGAGTTGCGTTTTTATTGCTGGTCAGTATACCTGCATTACTTCGGGCTTCCTTCCCACACGAAGCTGGCATGCCGTGATATAACTGAAATACTGTTCAGAGTGGATGTTAAATCAACTCACTCACCCGTTCCAACCACAGGGGCGACTGAACAAGGATTGGGTTTTCATATTATCACAGTGAACTAAGACTGGATATTGTCTGCCGCCATTTTGACGGTCATGAGGAAAACCGAAGTCAGGTGATTTATGATTTAGCTTCTCGTTATGAGCCCGAAACCCCAGTCAAGCCCTATGTGGTGGCCGGTCCACGGCTTGCCGTTTTCTATGAATCTTGATGGCGTGCCCGCGTTCAATACCAACGCCCGCGCACCTCAAGGGTATGATATGTGAAACCCGACCTTGAAGCTGCTGAAATATTGCTGAAGACAAAACACGCTCACTCCTGGCAAGACGCGGTGATGTTCTGCATCTGTGATACAGCTGATGCAACAACGCCATGCTTGGGTGGGCTTATGGGTGGAGCGTCTGCCCGGAGACAAGGTCATACAAGGCTTCAGGAGCATGGTGTTTATTGCTACCTGTCTGGCGTCCGGACTTATACACACAGACGCACACACACGCACGCACGCACGCAGAACAAAAATGTAAAATCAGAAAGTTACCACACAAGATCAACAAACATGTAACGAGTAATATTGGAGTGAGTTTAGTTTTACGCCGCACTCAGCAATATTCCAGCTGTATAGCGGCGGTCTGTAAATAATCGAGTCTGCACCAGACAGTCCAGTGATCAACAGCATGAGCATCAATCTGCGCAATTGGGAACCGATGTCATGTGTCAACCAAGTCAGCGAGCCTGACCACCCGATCCCGTTAGTCGCCTCTTACGACAAGCATGGGTTACTGAAGGCACATTCTAACCCGGACCTTCACGGGTCGAGTAATATTGGAACTCACACGATTAGATTCACTGTCATAATAGTCAATACGAAGGGTTAGGTTTGTGACATCAGGTGTTTGTGACGTCATAGGCACTATTTTCAAAACAATGCCGGCCCCGAATGGGAATCAACCCTACAAGAGTACCAGAATATGTACTTTACTGAGAAAGTGTACTCCCAAATATGACGTGTAACATTTGACCACTTTCTAAATGTCATTGAGTATGTCGGTACAGCCAGTCTTTTACAAACAAAGCAATCTTATATCAATGAGAGGCTGAACTTGTATGTATCTTGAATGTCTTAGATAGGTATTTTATCACTAATAATTCTAAATATATTAACATGCACAAAAAGTGGAGGCGCCCGTCGTTTTAGATCCAAAAGTCCGATTTCATTAAAATCCGATCTTCGCTGTAGCAACCGCTAAACGTTTTTACTAGTATATTAGATTTTAATTAGTTGACAATGTAAATAGTGTGTATCATCTTGCAAATGGAAAAACTCTTTGAAGTAGCTTTAATACTAAAATACTGTATTTAGTTACAAATCCTTGAACTACAGACTTTGCGTCGATTACCACACAAAAAGTTTCGGAAGAAACCCATTTGCTATGGACTACAAAGATCAAGGTTACTTTGTTTACGTCGGGCAGCGGAATAGAATAACTGCATCGGGATGTACGCTGGCATATCGCTGCAGATAAAACTGCACCACACACATGGTTGCAATTTAAAGATGCACCACAAATTGGCTTTACACATTGTAACTGTATATGGGGAACAGTACCCTGGCCTTCTTTACGACGAGCCACTAGATTACACGCTCACACCCACAGACATCCGAATTCACACGTGCATGCACGCATGTACATACACCACGCGAGAGAGAGAGAGAGAGAGAGGAGAATGACAGACACAATGGACCAGATGGTCAGTTATGCAGATGTGCTTGTGTTCAGATCGGTGATCATGATGTCAATCACTGGATTGTCTAGTCCAGATTCAATTATTGACAGACCAACGTCATATAGATGGACAATTTGCAGAGTCTTTTAGGTAACAAACAAATCTATTAAACAGTGATCATGCAATGCTATTGATTGCATTAGCGGTGAACACATGCAAATTGGCATGCACAGAACTAATCTGTAAAATCAGAGTGAGTGAGTGAGTTAGTTTTATGCCGCATTCAGACATATATCACGCCTGCGGGCACAGGCTTCAGGCATTGAACCAATGTGGGGATTCGAACCAGGGTCTTCGATGTGACTAGCAAACGCTTTAACCACTGGGCTACCCCACCGCCTGTGAAATCACCAGATGAATGGAACTTTAACAATATTGGAACTCAGACGATTAGGTTTAGAACTATAAAAGTCTGTACAAGGGGTCAAGTTTGTGACATCAGCAATGTTCTATTTAACATGTTCTGTTTACAAAACAATGTAAATACAGCAAGTCTTCTAGAAACAATAAACAAAGCAATAGTAGCACGAATGTGATCGCAAGTCCCACACTTTAACACTGGCTTAGAACAGTCATAGCTCCACGATCGCTAAATGAACGAGGGTCAGGAAGTGAATCGACAAGCTACCCACAGCGGACCTCTCTGAACCGGTAGGGAGCGACGGTATTAAGCGCTGCAACGCAACTCAAGTTTAGCGCCCTTGTGTGTGTGCGTGCGTGTGTGTGTATCAAATTAGAACGGAACGCCAGGTAAATGAAGACGGTATGGTGCTCGCAAGCCTAGATGAGGGAGAATCAGGGAGTCGAACCCACGAGTGTAGGTTTCTGGGACGGCTAAAGGACGCAGCTATAGTCGAGACCTGCAGCTGTGAAGATTAGGGTTAGAATTGCTCTTCAGCAAACTTGTCTTAAGAAACGATTGACGGATAATGTGGTAAGGCTCCCTGTTTGGGTTCATGTCATGGCATCCCAATTATGGCGATTGATGCTCATGATGTCAGTCACGACATTCTCTGGCCCAAATTCAATTTTAACGGGCAGTCGTAATATAGATCCGTACAGATTTAATACACAGCCGTAATAAACATTTTAAAGTCTGGTAATCCAGATCTGATCCACGTTGTTGCTGTATTTTTAATAAAATTTGTTTGTAATTAGAAATTGTAAAGTGAGTGAGTGAGTTTTAGTTTTACGTCGCTATTACCAATATTCCAGCAATATGACGACGGAGGACACCAGACATTGGCTTCACACATTGTACCCATGTGGGGAATCGAACCCGGGTCTTCGGCGTGACTAGCGAACACTTTAACCACTAGGTTACCCCACCGCCCGAGAAATGTGTAAAGAGTCATCAAATATCAATATGTACATCACGTGGCAAATGTTGATTGTAATCTGCATTTTACCTTGAGCCTGAAGAACTGCAATAAACTGTCTGTCTGTCTGTCTGTCTGTCTGTCTGTCTGTCAGTAATACAGATTGAATATTGCTATGTGTGGCGTATATATATATATCTCCTTCATAGTCTTTGTTCATGACTAACATTTGGGGACCTTGAATCAGTGTGGTTTTAAATGACATTTGTCATTGTGACCTCATCTCGTCCCTGGCCAAATTCCACACCGTCACCATATTGTTGTCCTTCACATTGGGTATAATGTTACACGGTGACATAATGTTTCAATCTGACACCCTATTGGCCTTCAGCTCAAATACGGGGCGGTCGGGTAGCCTCGTGATTAAAGTGTTCGCTCTTTACGCCGAAGCCCCGGGTTGGAATCCCCATGGGTGCAATGTGTGAAGCCCATATCTGGTGTCCCCCGCCATGATATTGCTGGAATATTGCTAAAAGCGGCGTGAAACTAAACTCACTCACTCACTCAATAAGTTAGTTCATATATATATCAAAGTAACCATCACTACCCAAAACGCAAATCATATTTGTCGCATACTAAAGATATTTAAAATACAACGTTCACTGAAAGAAGCTAGGTGTTTTGTTCTCTTTTTTGAAATTATAAACATCGATGTAAAATTAATCGTAAAACCGATCGTGCAATTATATAACTGAATATTCATTGATAGTCACAAAAAAGTACAAACGAACATTACTTATGAGATAACGACTGACTGACTGACTGAGTTTAGTTTTACGCCGCTTTTAGCAATATTCCAGCAATATCACGGCGGGGGACACCAGAAATGGGCTTAACACATTGTGCCCATGTGGGGAATCTAACCCGGGTCTTCGGCGTGACGAGCCAACGCTTTAACCACTAGGCTACCCCACCGCCCCTATGAGATAACGGAAAACTGAAACTGTGTTTGGGTGTTTGCTTGGTGTTTAACGCCGCACTCAGCAATATTTCAGCTATAGTGAGTGAGTTTAGTTTTACGCCAAACTCAGAAATATTACAGCTATATGGCGACAGTCTGTAAATAATCGAGTCTGGGCTAGACAATCCAGTGATCAACAACATGAGCATCGATCTACGCAAATGGGACAAAATGTGTCAACCAAGTCAGCGAGCCTGACTACCCGATCCCG